TTTTATAATCGAAATTACGTAATTTTTGAAATTAATAATAAATTATTAATTTTAGTCAAACATTTACAACCCCTAATATTAATCAAAACAGGATCTATTCCACAGATTTAATAGAATCAGCGACAGGGAGAGAAAAAAAAATGATTGTTGTAATTTTTTTTCTGGTTAAGTGATGTCTTATTATGTAAATTAGAGAAAACATAAATCTGTTCCATTAAAGCAAGGAAGGTGATAGGAAGTGGATAAAATAAAAACTACATTTATTTAACTCGGTACTGTCTTTATTATACTGGGTGCGTCTCAAAAGTGGCTCATCCCCATAATTTTTTATATTTTCAAATAAAAAACAAGATTTAGTATGTTAGTATATGAAATAAATTAGGATTGATTGACGCATTCAATTGTTTTTGGTCACTTCCTCATTCACCGGAAATGACTATAACTTTTAATTTTTAAACGGCACCCTCGGTATATTTCTACTTTATTCGATAGAAAATGACACTCTGAATAGAATGACATATCATATGTCAACTTTTGACATTTTCGCATATGGTTTAATTGTAATTGTAACACGCGGTTCATAACGACAATTTGACTCGAAATACCAAGTGTGTGGTATCAATATATTCATAAAAAATGCTTTTTCCAAATATGCTAATGAGTCACCCTTGTTCCATTTGAAAAATTGACATATGTATGATTAAAAATACGATTTGTACATCTTTTAACCGGCCTAGACAAGACACGAAACCTATTAGACGATCAAAACTATTTTTCCAAGGCTCCTTGATTAAAACTTAGTGGATTGAAAAAAACTGGATTGAAATTTAAAATAGGATATGTTTTTAAGCGACAATGTCAAAAGTTGACATATGATATGTCATTCTATTCAGAGTGTCATTTTTATCGAATAAAGTAGCAATATACCGAGGGTGCCTTTAAAAATCAAAAGATGTAATCATTTCGGTGAAACAGGAAGAGACCAAAAACAATTGAATACGTCAATAAATCCTAATTTATGTCATATACCTACTAACATACACATCTGTTTTTTATCTGAAAAAATAAAAAAGTTATAGGGTTAGCCACTTTTGAGACGACCCGGTATATTAAAAAATATTGTTTCATAATGTAATATCATTTTAAAATTCTTGTATGTTATTTTAGATTCTGAAGATAATTTTAGAATAAACCGGAATATATTTTTAATAAAAACATTATTAATTATTAACAGGGTTATAATTATGATTTTGTTACAATGTAAGTAAGTAAATAATGTAATGTAAGAGAAAAAATTCAGATTTTACATTTTACTAAAATATTATCTAAATAAGCGCCTTTCTACAACAACGCCACTGACTCCCAATGGGTAAATTGAGAGTTGCCTACCGGTCAAAAGTCGTTTCAAGACTTAAATGGATTATTTAAGTCAAATTTCTTGCAAATTTGGCACTGGCGAACCATATTTTATAGTTCTTGAACAGAAAAAGTCAATAAAATAAACACTTAAGCACTACAAGCTAAGAAAATGCGTTAATACAGCCGGGGAGATAGCGGCAACAAAGCTTTACCGCACACGTGCGACACGTACTACAAGGTAATAAATGAATGAATAGGCTCCCTCGCCTCTAATCGGTGTTGTCATATTGTAAAGAACTTATCCTTTTTAAACAGTATCCGACTTATAATTTAGTAGTATAAGGACTATTTAATACATCTCTGGAATATTAAAACCTACTTTATTAAACTGTAGTATTAATATCTCAATATATGTGTATAACAAAAAAAAAATATTGATAATATTAAAGACGTGACAACATAGGCTGGATGAGGAAGGCTCGGTCGACTGTACCCAGAAGTAAACATGTGTACAAAAAAGGTTGTTTGTCCGCGTTGAGATGTAAATAGTGTAGTCTATATTTTATTTTAAGTCTATGGAATAAACACTGCCGCTTATTAAGCATCTAATCTGAAAGATCAACTCTGCGGATTTGGCTTGGTCCGCCCTACAAATGCAAAGTTTTTATCCGCTGACCAAGTCCGCAGGCCAAATCTTCTGGTGTATAGGGGACTAATGCGTCTGTGAACGGTACCTTGCTTACGGTAAGCTTGCAGACGACAAGGGTAAACCGGGTGGACAACTCAAAAGGTACAAGGATATTTTCTATTAAAACTTAAAGAGGATAAGCATGCAGAATGCAGAATCAGTTGGAGGAAGCAGCGCACAATAGAACGCAATGGAGAAGAATTTTAAACTCAGTTAACAACGACATACATACAGCCATTACTCGCTGACGAGTATTCGACACACATAAAGAAGATGGTCACGCAAGGCGTTTTCTTTCATGAGCTTTTCTGTGACTGAAAAGCCCGATACGTGATGTTATCTGCATACCGCACTCCGGACATTCAAAAATCTCATTGCTTTGTTGCCTCTTTACTTTTTGGTTGCCTCTGTTAACTGAGTTTACAACCCTTCTCCATTGAGTTCTATTGTGAGCTGCTTTTTCCCACTCATACTGCATGTTAATTTCCTTTAAATTTTCGCGGAAAATGTCTTTGTATCTTTTCAGTTGTCCACCCGGCCTCCTCTTACCGTCCACAAGCTCACCGTAAAGCAGAGATTTTGGTATGCGGTTTTCTTGCATTCTGCATACGTGACCAGCCCATCTTAAGCGGGATTTTGTGACCATGACTTCAATACTCTCGCAGTTAGATTTTTCAAGGACCGATACGTTTGAGACATGATGGAACCACCGGACTCTTAAGAGTTGTCTAAGGTGTCTCTGTTGCAACTTGTTCAATGCGTTCATGTGTCGGCGGTAAGGCACCCAGGTTTCGCTCCCATATATCATGGTGGGGATTATAATTGCTCGGTATACTGCAAGTTTTGTTTTTGTACTCAAGTCATGATTGTAGAAAACCCTGTCTTTTAATTTCCAGAATGCTCTTGAGGCGCTACTAATCCTGTGCTGAATTTCAGAGTCAATATTGGCCTTTTCCGAAATCAAACTGCCAAGGTAATTGAATTCCGCCACATATTCGAATAGTTCTTCTCCGATTTTTATAGCATTGTTGTGATCTTCCGGGGGAGTGCACATGATTTTAGTTTTGCCGATGTTCAGCTTAAGGCCCAAAGCCTCGTATGCCCAGGTATATGTGTTCAACATTTCTTGTAATTGTTGTACCGTGTTTGCAACTAGAGCGCAGTCGTCAGCGTATTGAAGTTCTGTGATAAATTTTGTACGTGTTTTTGCCCTGAGTCTTTTTATGTTGAACAGACCGCCGTCATATCAGTATCTAATGCCCAATCCTCTCTCCTGCAGTTTGCTGTCCACTATAATGGAGAGCGCTGCCATGAATATGTTGAATAGGAGAGGCGCTAAGACACATCCCTGCCTAACTCCTGTATTTGTTAGGAATGGGTCTCTCAGTGATCCATGATGTGACACTCTTGACTTGTTGTTTTGGAGGCTTTTACACACTGTAAGAAATTTGTTGGGTACTCCGAACTTTTCCATAATTGCCCAAAGCGCATCTCTGTTCACAGAGTCGAAGGCTTTTGTTAGATCGATGAATGCAACATAAAGTTTAGACTGCTGCTCTTTTACTTTTTCCTGTAGTTGACGGATGGAAAATATGGAATCGACGGTGCCGCGGTTGGTACGAAAACCCGTTTGCGATTCTGGAAGGATTTTTTCTATATATGGGTGCAGGCGGTTTGACATTATTTTTGCAAGAATTTTTCCGCCGATAGCCAATAGCGAAATTCCCCGGTAATTTCCGCAGTCTGATGCACTTCCTTTGTTCTTAAATATATTCACTATATTCGCGTTGCGAAAATCCTGAGGTACCTCTCCGCTGTCCCATACGACATCAAAGAGAGCCTTAAGATGACCAATAAGTTCTTTACTTGCACACTTATAGATTTCCGCCGGAATCGCGTCACAGCCAGCTGATTTGTTGTTTTTGAGCTGTTTTATGGAGGTCTTTATTTCTTGTTCTGTTATTGGGATGTCTAATACATCGAGGCTGTTATACTGAGGTATTGTGTTTAGTGCTTCCATATTGGGGTTGTTTTCTTGGTTAAGGATATGGCTGTAATGTTCTTTCCAGCGATTTCTGATTTGTTCTTCCTCTTTTAGAAGTTCGCCATTTTGAGCCATGATTGGGCAGCTTACCTTCTTAGTTGGACCGTATACTTCTTTTACAGCCTCGAAGAATTTACGATAATCGTGATGCGTGGCGTACTCTTGAATCTGATTCGCTTTTTGTGACCACCAGTTATCCTTTACTTGGCGCAGTTCTCTTCGAAGCGTGTTGTTGGCTGCTTTAAAGTTGTCTACCAGTCTTGGATTATAACGACAACCAAAAAGTAAAGAGACAACAAAAAATGACATTTTGAATGTTGAGAGTAAGCGATTTCTAAGGATACTAGACTTGTGTTACCTTACTAGACTTGTATTCTAAAGATACTAGACTTGTATATTGACCGAGATGTGTTTTTTTCAGCTGTCGAGGTGTAGCGAAAGGTCGGGCTTGGTAATTGCGTTGCTTAATCTCTGGGGTTAATTGTTGTTTGTCTAGATCTCCGGCACGCTATAGTAACAGAAGTCTAGTATGTAGAGATATAATATTGCGTATCGTGCTTTTCAGTCACAGAAAAGTTAATGAAAGGAAACGCATTTGCGTACCATCTTCTGATGCGTGTCAAATACTCGTCACCGAGTAATGGCAGTAGTAGTAGTACTAGTAGTGATGAAAACACCGGTAGCTTGATTTGTTTTTAATTTATGTCAACAAAACAATAATTTTAGTACTATTTTAACTATAACGGCGAAATTTTATATCATGTTTTTGTTAAACATTTTACAATCTCATTAGATTTACGGCGACGCGCGACGATAGACAAGATTTTAATTTATTACAAATCACCATATTGAATTTTTACACCATAAGATAAAGATTTAAATTAAATTGTTTTATTTTTTGGTTTTCAGGCAAGAAGTTCGGGACCACATGGTGCACTGGAGTTCCCATTTTTCTTTTCCCTGCAAAATGATGGCGAACGCTTCAACTGGAGTAATGGAAAAGTGCATCTTACGAATTTCCATCCGGAAAGAATGCAAAGGAGGACGAAGTTTTACGAAGGTGAGAAAAAAAACGCAATGAGAAATTATTCATTTTTACCGTTTAAGGAGCTACGGAATAGCGTGTTACGGAGATGACAGAGTTTTAAAATTAAAAAAGGAAATTTTAAAGTAATTTGTAGAATATTTCTCAGGAATATTCGTATTTTATTGCGAACTTTTAAGACAAATATGTATTAATGTTAGTGAATTAATTTTATACTTTACACTTCGAGTTTACAATCATTCATAATAGGTATTAAAAAATTCATTAAAAATCCGTTAATTAATAAAATATCCTAGCAGCAGATCTTGTATCCATAGACAACATTCATATTGAGTATGTAAAAAATATACAATTCTTGTTGCAAAAAAAAATCAAAATATAGCGTAAACACGGAAATATACCTTTTTAGATATTGATGTTCTGTTTATATTTTATTTTTATTGATATTTTGCTTAGATTGGGCTTTTAATTTTTTGAGGTTTTTCGGTATTCTGGCATCCCGGTTTAGTAGCCCTACTTGGCACTATTAGACATACAATTAATAAAACAGGTGTTTCAATTTTTATTTTCTAAATTTAATTGGAATGGAGAATGGAATAATATTTCCATCTAATTTCGAACCAGCGATGGTCTAATCTGGACAGGACGGCAGCCAATGTCCATTCCGCAACGCTATTAGGTACTTACACGACAGAAAATGTGTCGGCCAAGATTTTTCTACCGGGTGCGTTTCAAAAGTGGCTCACCCCTATAACTTTTTTATTTTTTCAGATAAAAAAACGAGATTTGGTATGTTAGTATATGACATAAACTGGGATTGATTGACGTATTCAATTGTTTTTCTGTTTCACCGGAAATGACTACAGCTTTTGTTAAATGGCACCCTCGGTATTTTTTTTTACTTTATTCGATAGAAAATGGCACTCTAAATAGAATGACATATCATATGTCAACTTTTGACATTTTCACATATGTTTTATTTGAATTTGTAACATGCGGTTTATAACGACAATTTGATTCGAAATATCAAGTGTGTGGTACCAAATTATTCGTAAAAAAGGTGTTTTTTCCAAATATGCTAATGAGCCACCCTCGTTCCATTTGAAAAATACAGATATGATTAAAAAAAAACGATTTGCGCATGTTTCAACCGACCAGGACAAGACACTAAAAACGTTAGATGATCAAATCCAAGGCTACTTGATTAAAAATTATTAATTATTAGTTTTTAAAACAGCGTATTATAAATTTTAATCTAGAGTACCATGGCTGTGTTAAAAATACTAATTTTTAATCAAGTAGCCTTGGATTTGATCGTCTAATATTTTTAGTGTTCTTGTCCTGGTCGGTCAAAACATACCCAATTCGTTTATCTGACAAAATAAAAAAGTTTTAGAGGTGATTCACTTTTGATACGCACCCAGTATACGCCACGCCATCGCCAGGTTAAATTAATTCTTGATATTGGTGAAGATATTAGAACAAAGTTTTTGTATATTATATGTAACTATTTTTCATGTACAGTGTGTCCCAAATCGGAGCCTCATCATTTGAATCTCGGAAACAAAGAGATACGAGGTTGGTTAAATCGAACTGTAGTTGCACAATTTGATTCTGATCCAAATGCCACATTAAAAGTTTAAAAAATTGGAATAGTTCCGAAGATTTTTAGAATAAAAAAGAAAATTCTATTTGAATGGATATAACAAAATAAATTTTACATTCTCATTGTTTTTTTTTGTTCTACAAGGTGGTGTTTACTACGTTTCGTCTGTTAGATACCATCATCAATTTTCTTTTTGTAAATACGGCCTTAGATTTTTTATTAAGAATTTTAAGAGCCTTTAAGATCTCAAAATCAATTATGTATCGCATTTATTCAAAGAATTCATATTAATGTCATTTTCCATAGGAACTAATGTGTTAATGTGTTAGAGATAGAGACGAAGAATAGATTTTTGGTAAATTTTTCAAATAAGTGTGATACATCATTGGTTGCTGTGGGCATCAGCTAGTATGTAATATATGACTACAATTTCACAGATTTAGGACGAACAGTCCAGAAGGATTTTTTACATATAGAGTATAGTTTTTAGTTACATTTTTTTGTTTTTAGTTGGGTTTTGTGGACCTCAACCTGGCGGAATACGCCGGCGCCGGAGTGATACACAAAAGAGCCCTTCTGGAAGGTTACGACACACGTCACAGGCAAGACAACAGCATGCTCAAGTTTCGTATCCAGCTCAATATGATCTCAGGGGATATATTGTTTAAAGCGTAAGTATTTATTTAGCAAAACTTTAAAAAAAGTAATATTCCTGTGGAAACGTTTACCGAAAGTCCTATATACTTTCCAATGACAGAGAGATTTTTGAGAGTGACAGTTGATTTCGTTCTTTTCTTTCTTCAGTCATTTTAAGATATAGTATTTCTCAAGTCAATTGAAAATACTAGGACTCTTAATTGGTTTGTCCAAATGATGCCGACAATGGCGCAGATAAGGACAGTGCCAAAATTAAGAGTTTCAATCTATTTCAATTGAATTCTGAAAAACTATAATTGAAGAGCTTATTGTAATGACCAGAAATCTAGTGTTATTACTAGTGTTTTTTTTTTCGAACACTGTGCCTTTTATCCAACAAATTTGTTAGATAAATACTTAGCCAGTTAACCTAAACTATCTCTAAAACGTCTTCAAATTTATATTTCTTAATAGCTAAATTTACACATTTTCTCAAGACTGCAAAGTCTAATAATTGAGAATTATGGATTTGTGGCATTTCATGTTATTACAATAAGTCTTTCAATTGAATTAGATTTTCTTCTTCTGTCGTGTGTCGAAAAGTCTTTTGTCGAAATCGCTCCGCTGCGCTGTACAGACTTTAGTAATGATCACAGAATAACTTCAGAACGATCAGTCAATGTATTGAAAAGTAAACAATTTATTTGACGCCATCTATCGTCAAACCCAAGCCCCCAAGGCCCAAGCTCATTCAAGGTCAAACTAAATACTTTTCAAGCCCATTAAAATGTTATGAAATTGGTTCGTATTTTATTAAATAAAATGTAAGACAAAAAGTTTAAACAAAGGGGAATATAAAATAATATTAGGTAATACCAACATAACAAATCAATAACAATTATTTGTAAATTAATGTAATGGGTAGGTTTTTTTATAGTAGCACATTGGTCTATTTTAGTAAAAACTGTTTAATGTTTTAATTTACCTCAGTGGCGGCGCATGGCTTAATACTTTGGGGTGCACAATCTTTTATAACGCGGCCACGCTTAAAAAAGGCTCTAGACCCGTGAATCTAAGGCTGCAAATTAAAGGACCTTATTTTAGTAAAAACCTAAAAACCCCGTGTACTAAAATGTATTTTTTTTTAAATATTGCACTTAATTGTCATTTTTGTAGTTTGTGAAATCAAAAATCCCAATCCGAAAATGATAATTCCTGTCGCGACCGACAAGTGCACAGATTATATTTGCACATGAGCGAGCTTGCATGCATGAACGTCGCTAGAGTGTCGCGGGGAACAAATAATAATTCTGGCGGTAAAGATTCAAAGCAATGAGATCTGATATTATTGCGATGAGCATGAACGAAGCAATCAGGCGACGCGCTAGAGTAAGTCTGATGAAAGACGACATATCACGTGGAACTGGCACGTTACGCAGATACAGCATATAGCAATTGAGTTTTGTTTATAATGTAATAGATAATTTTTTTATAGCCAGATAAGAAGTTTGCAGTTTTCTGTGCTTTTCTTTATAATCATAAGTCTACGACGAATCGTTTTTTGGTGTAAATAGATTAATGAAAGAATGACAGAAAAAATTTCAAGAAGATGAAAACGACAAACATTTATCAAGTAGTACCCGAACTAATGACACTTAACGAGATGAGCTGGTGCAGCAAACAAACGAAATATATTAAATAATAATTTAATTAAATTCCAAACTAATAATTTACATTACACGTTCTACAATACTTTCATGTAACTGCCTATGGTTTAGGACGCACGCCATCGTGTTTGCTCGTTCGGACCCACAGTATGCCTCCCGGGGTTGTAAGTTTAAATGGGTGTTATCCTGATGGCCATCTCTGGCATGTTTTCAACCGCGTGCTGCGGGAACCAGGGAATAGTTCTAATTTACTGAATAAATTGCCGAATAATTATTTTAAATGTGTTTTTACCAGTGGCGGTGCCTCTATAAGCGCACGACATAAACTTTCAAATTTAATACTTTGTGAAAAAAAGGAATTTAAATGTTATATTTTTTTATTAATTCTATTTATCCCAAAAAGGATTTGTCCTAGACTTGTAATTTATACCCGAAAATCTTTGTCGAATTTCTTATCTGACATTAAGGCTTAAAAGTCAAATGTCCTAGGACCATCAGACCTTACTTATTTTCTCACAAATAAAATGTATGGGATAATGTAGTATTAGCCTTGATTGAAAGAATTGGGAAGATACGCAACTTAATGGACAAATTCGTAACAAGGCTGATTTGATTTCCTCTTACGTTTCAAGTGCTGTACGGAGGAGCATCTACTCGTTCTGCAGCCAACGCATATCGAAGACGGTATGGAACTGAAAGCGACAGTGTTGCCATAGTAAAATGTGTAATATCTATACGTTTGGGGGGGGGGAGGTTTGGCTGTGATGGGGGGGGGGGCGAAAATATCTTCGGTTGAACAATCCGCGTTTACGAATTGAAAATGTATTCGTGTTAAACATAGGATAAACAACAAAAATAAAAATTCTTTTATAGGTACTGAATATTTCGTATGATCGGAAAAAGTCGTTTAGTTGGCTTAGAAATGACGGCTATTGACATTCACCATAATAGTTTACATATGAAATAACAGCGATCTTTATTTCCTAGCCAACTCTGACGCCGTTCTTTGTTTAATCATATAATTATAAAATCGCTTATTTTTGGGGCTTACTCAACCGGGTCTCACAATGAAAATTCACCTCAAATATCCATTTAGTTGGTCATTGGCAAGCACTCTCTCATTGTACATGAAAATAACAAAACAAACATTTACTGATCTGGTGGATAAAATTGATAATTAAATAGTAAAACTCACCCGGCGGTACTCGGCCCCCTAGCCACTGACATTCTATTCAATATATCCCATTCCATATCTTCCATCTAATTCAAATATTATTCGGATCCATTGGTTAATAATCTTCAACAACTAGCTAGTGTCACCTGAGATAGTATAGAGGCTTCCCCCGGACGCGAATCTAAACAGATTCGCATCCCAATCGAATAGGCTAATTGGGGTATCTCACTACCCCAACGCCGCTTCGTCAATTGAGAAGCATTATGGAGACCTCAAACTCTCAAGACCAACTCGAAGGCAAGACGTCACAAGAGGTTTTCTTCTTGTGGTCAAACGACCCCGTTGCCTTACAGTCAAACGACTCGCAACTATGATAGTCAAAAGACTCGCAACCCCCAATTGTCAGCTCTGTGACAAAACACAACACTACACAGCCGGCCGGCCCGTCTACTACTGACCCGCCAAAGCTAAGCCTCCTCTTACATCACAATTTTACCTGATCATAAATATTTACATCGCTTGCCAATGAATCATACTATTTTCTCTAATCGACTTTCAAATAGAGTGTTTTAGCATTACTAGATAAATAAATAGAGTTTCCGAAGGAATGCTTATTCTTTATTAGAATAGTGAATAAATAAAAGCATTATTATAACGAACTTATTTTCCAAGTTTTACATAATATTATATTAAATTGTTTAGTGATAGAAAACAGTAGTTCCGGCAACCACTCACTCTGTCGACTGAAAGCAGAACTACGGTCTGCTACGGTATTCTTTATCCGTAAACCCTGTAAACGACGAGTTGAAATTGGAAATCCATTTTTTGAGATTTTTGTCATATTTTAAGTTCTTGCAAGGGACTACCAATTCTTAAGGCAATATTTCTTTATATTGTCACTTGGTAAAAGCGTAAACATCAAGGATCAAGACACAATAACAGGTAGTTTAAAAATTATAAAAGTAAGATTGCTTGACAAATGAAGATTTTTTTATGAATAGATACTAAAAAACAACCAACTGATCAGATAATAGTTTTTCCTTATGAAAAGCCAGAGTTTTTATTTCTAAATAATAGTTGAGTATATTAAGTTTTATTTTAAAAAGTTGAGTATATTAGAATTTTGTTTCTTAAAAATTCACCGTCCGTAAAGTCGATCGGACTGCAATATGAATTTCATTTTTATTTTTTAATTTAAATTGGTATGTTTTGTGAGAAAAATACATGAGGTAAAAAATGTAAATTAATCAGTCTGTAGTAACAATTTCTGATACAGGAGCAAAATAAATGAAAGTTATGTCATCGTACAATTTAGCAAAAACTACAAATAAAAACACATTTCGAACTGTTTTCATGTTTTTTTTACATTTTTTACATTTTTTTTTACATTTGCCTTCTATGGTAGTCAACAGGCAGAGAATTTGTAGAAAATAAAAAAAAAATACTATAAAGTACTGTAACTATTGTGAAAATTATTAATTATTTCTAGGCCTTCCCCATCTCTTAAGCATAAGCAAACTTTAATGGAAGATGCCACTACAGATCAACGATCAGATGAATTCTCCAGCGGTTCCTTGGCCGGCTCCATTAACAGTGGCAGTTCCGGATTCGGTAGTTTACCGAAAAAACGGCCTCCTCTAATGTCTTCAGGTAAAACTGGCATTTCCTTATTCAACCAATTTGTTACAAAACTTCAAATTCGCATTTTTACAGATCTCGTGATAGGCCAAACCCTGACGGAAGGAAGTTTGACCGCTCCCACGCCCACCGACCAATCAGGAAACGAGCTGGTCCCGCCCATCGTGCATTGCGAACAAGCGACCGACTACGCCGGCCCTGGTCACGCCCAGGAGCCGGGGCACAGTCGCAATTCGTCCAATACGAGCCAGATGTCGCGGGCGTCGGGCTACAGTAGCATATCCCACAGTCGCCAGAGCAGTAGTGGCGATTCGGCCGCAGGACATATCAGGTAATAATCGAAATAGCGATGCTTTTTGTTTGGTGTAGGCGGGCTGGGAGTATAAAAATTCAAAAGGGGCTATGTAAATTATTGATGGAAAAGAGGGCTTAAAGGAGAGGGTTATTTTTTTGGTTAGGTTAACCAATTGAAACGGATCTTTATTTTTAAATGGAATTATGTTTGATGTTTTACCGCATGCGATTAATTTAAGTGTAAAATATGGTATTTTAAATATTCAGGGTTTATATTTTGTAAAATAACCCACTGGGAAAATTTTATTGTAAATATTTCGATAAATTGTAAAAAAAATCATAACAGTTTTTTTTGTAAATGTCTTTCTATTCTATAAATACGATTCTAATTATTTTTTATCTATATGCTGTAATAAGAATTAAGTGGATTATTATAGCTTAAATGAAACTTGTTTGTATTTTTGGATACATTTATATTTTTAATCAAAATAATATAGATAGTGGGGTAAATTCTATACAGGATGTTCCTTAATGATATGCTAATATTTAATGAGGTGATTCTTAGACAATTATTGTTTATTAAAATTATTATTCTAAGAGAAAAAACATCATTTGAATGTTTGTCCTAAACATCTTAGTTTCTGAGATACAGGGTGGTAACATTTTCTAAAAAAAAATGTTTTTTCATAATAACTCTGATTTTTTTGATACACCCCAAGTAGCATCTATCTGACTTCGAACTAAATCTGACCTGAAGCGACGTCAGACTTTGTGCAAATTTAGGTCGGGTGCTGGTGATACGACCTGTGACGTCGCTTTCCTATTAAAAGCGACGTCGTTGGATCCGAGTTGGTAAATCCAACCATCTGTCGACGTACAAAATAACAACGTACCATTTTTATTAATTTCCCAACGTCGTTCCCACGTTGGCTTGCACGACGTACATATACTTGAACTAGCCCGACGTCTACCCGTTATCCGAATAGGATACGTCTCACTGAATCCCTAAAGTAACGTCCAATTATATTTTGTTGTATTTTATGTTCATATTTATAACCTAATTTACGTATCTCTATTTACGTCCGTAAATACAACCCATTAAGTAGCATTTACGACCTAATGAACTAATTTAATTTTTTTATTATGTCTAAAAAACACTAAAAAGGTATTCATCTATATTTTACAGAAAGAGGTAGAGGCTTTTGCAAAATAATAATAGTAGTAGTGATGTCTTGCCTCCACCCGTAAATGCTTTTTATCCGGAAGAGATGCTGCATTACACTGGTGCATCTTAATTTCATTTTTTAGCTTAGGAAACCAGCAGACCCCATCCTCCTCCGACATGTGAGGTTAGGCTTAAAAAAGTGGCTGCCCATTTTTTTTAAGGAGAAAACAAAAACTAAAATATAGTTGCACAAATCCACAAATCACTGCTACGCAAAGTGAGGTTACGTGGCGTACGTTGGAATTATATACGTCATAATACGATTGCCGGTCGTCCGGTTTGATGACTTCGGTCGTGTTTGACGACTAATGTTGGAGACCCGGTCGGAATTGGTATATTGGTAGTTCATATTAAGTCGGACACAGAAATCCGCCATTCTTAACACGTATCCGATTGTCAGCCATTTTAAAATCGTTTTATGTTTTTAAAATTTATATTCACATTTCGATTTCTAGTAGAATAATATTGATATGGTTGAGTTTGGGGGGAACCACAGTACAGTTTTATGATTAAACCAGCTAGAAAATTAAAAAAATATTTTGCGAGTTACTTTTTTATAGATATTTTTATTTCATAAATCTACCTAATTTTGAAGGCGCTCGTTGTTTTCCGGAGTATTTTAATCAGATATATCAAGAAAGTGACTTCCGTTTACAAAACTGATGTCTGGATTAATGATTCAGAATTATTATAATATGAAATTAGATAGGCACTTATATAGTTATATTCGAGGAGTGATTATGAATCCATTTGTAACTAGGTAGTTTGGTTAGGTTTTTATGTATTCTTGGTAGCGAATATGAAACCAAACATAACGTAAGTGCTTAGCGACGAATTTTAAGTGACTAAAATTCAACGTAATATGACGTTGGTAATTGGTAGAATTACATTCCTTATTAGGTCAGATACCGACGTCGAGGCGACCCGAATCTGTATTACCCATTTAGGTGCAAATAAGGGTCGTCAGGCGGTCGAACCGACTTTGGTACCTGACGTCGGGTTTATTGAACGCGACGTATACCCGACGTTAGATAACGTCCAAATGCTACTTGGGACGTTTTCTATGCATCAAAGTGCCTTTTTTGGTGTACAAAGAATTTTATTTATTTTAACCAGTGCCGTCATAAGGGGTTTACATTGAATATTTTTTGAGAAAAAAGTGATACACCACTGACTCTTCTTATAATAAAAATTATTTTCAAAATCTTTATTCATTGCTAAAATTTGTTATCTCTTGATTTTTTCATCCGACGCATAGTTTTAGCTAAAAAAATTAAAGGGTCAAGGGTCAAATTGGTCAGGGGTCAAGGGTCAAAGGGTCAAAAAAGGTCAGGGTCAAATTGCTGAAAATCTGATGCGGAGACTGTTGTGTGGATATCATTTCTGCATCGGCTGAAGGGAAATTAAGAAATAAAACCATTTTTTGTATATGAAAATTAGAATAAGCATTTTGGTGCATGAAAGACGTGTATCAAATATAACATCAGAAATATTTTGAAAGAAAAAAAAAATGAAAATTTTACCACTCTGTATCTGAAACGTTAAGATATTTAGGATATTATATTCATATGAAGTTTTTTTTCTTAGAATAGGTCCAAGAATCACCTCCTTAAATATTAGCATGTCATTAAGGAACACTCTGTATATTAGACATCTTAGAAAAATATTAGTAATTGTAATAAACTTAATCAGTGGAAAATGGGCGTATAACTCAACATTTAGGAATACATAATCATTTTTTTAATGCCATGTTTACATGAAAAGTGTAAGATTTGATAATATGAATACCGATTTGGTCATTGAGACTGCGTGGTCTGGATTTTAACGTGTAAGACAGTGATATACACAGCTTAAATGAAAAATTAAATGTACTAAAAAGAGATAAAAGTTAGGTTGATACATTTTTTCTATGCGGATCGCCGAATTTTGCATCAAAATTTCAAACCGCACAATTAGGTGTTTAAGAAAAATGTCGCATCTAGGGTTGGTACCTACTTCAGTTTTCACAACTAGTTACTCATTTTAATACAGCTGTAATAAATTCCAAAACAACTATCTAACAGAAATGAGCATTATTATATGAGGGGCTGAGTTCCAAAACTAGTTTTATCCAAATTAGTTAATTTTCAATAATCGCAAAAAACTAACAGCAACCTAATTAGTCTTGGAACAAATGCAAGACTTTAACATGTAAATTATACAGGATAGAATGAGTTATGCCACAAAAATGATGCTGAATATTGTGCAGGGCTGCCAATACTAGACTATAGATACTTTTACTCAAAATTACCAAAAATGGATAAGACGAGTTTTGAAACTCAACCCCTCATATATAGAATATATTATTATATATAGAATAGCTTAGATATATTATCTTGTTTATTATTTTATTTCTCATACGAACCGGCAACAATGTATGACGCTTTTTATTTTGTCTCTCTGTCTGTCAACTGGTCGTATATATTTATCTCTGTCGTATGCATTAAAGTGCAGACCACGGAAATAAAATGATCAGGGCTGTATGGAAGTTATTTAAAAAATCAAATAATTTGGAAAATACATTTTGCCGTCATGCTTGTGACATTTGATTTTATTTTGTAATTTAATGTTGGACATGCCTAAAATTATATACACAAAAATTTAGAAATAGTTTTGTTACATTTTGATATATTTTAAAAGCAATTTTGCATAAACGGGGTAAAATTTAACAATCTATGGAAGCTATTTAACACTTAGGGGAAAATACATTTTCACTTCATGCTGGCTTGCATGTAGCGTAATATAACAACCACTTTTAGTTTAGATAAGATACTAGATATTTAAAATAGTTTCTGTATACGTCTCTAGAAAGTGTATAGTTATTTTATAAATATGTGAATATTAAATAACATTTACATAGTTAACTCTTAAGTATAGAAGATCTTTAGTATTGCTCACTGCTCTCATTTTTTTATTTTACTTTTTATTTTATACGAACCACATGCATGCATTCATAATATTATTGGCAAACAGGAACGCCTTCCAGCACCAGTCGCTTCGACGGCCCTCCTCCAAATTCCAACGCACCTACACCCTCCCCAAACACCGCATTTACATTCCCAACACCATCCTGTCGGAGTCTTTCGGTTCTCGCGCTTTGGACACGTCCACGCCCGAAGTTTTTCACACGCCTCAAGGGAGTATGGGCGGGGCCGACGATATTTCGACCAGCCCTCTGGCTAGTCAGCAACCGGAAGTGTTTCTCACGCCTCAATGTGATAAGTTTTCCACTCCCCCGAAGTATACGACCCAAAAAAGCGAACCTAATGGGACACTCAGTGACGTGGAGGACGTTTTTGGAACTCCTGACGAGTCTTTTACCGTTAAAACGGACGTGTTTAGCCGAAATTTTAACGCGTTACAAAAGAGCGCTTCGAGTAGTGTCGTTGAAAGAATACGTAACGATTTACCAGGCCAAGGACCGGTATTCGTCGCGAATACCATTAACGGTGGACAAAAACCTAGTAGCTGGCCTCCGTATTGTGAGAGAAAATCGGACAGTGGACTGCGCTACTCCAAAAGTGACTTTCAGATTCCGAAAATCTCGCCAAACCCACCTCGAAAGGAACGATCGATTTCGAATATATTAGCGTCGTTTTTAACGCCACGCCTACCGCGAAAGGGCGGGGCTAACACCCAATCCACGCCCATAAGTAACGGTCTTAGTTTGTTCCCCCCCACCAATACTTTATTGTCCAATCAGGAGTCGAGGGCCGTCTCGATGGGCAATTTGAAAGCGGGCAACGACGGGCTTTTGCTGGTTCCAGGACCCATGGACAGGTAGGAATGGGAATATATTTTTTAGAGTTTTGGTTCATTTTTTAGTTGGTGTTTGTTGGTCGGTGTGGTAAAAGGGTGATTTTGTGCATTTTGTGGCTGGGTTATTAAGACTAACGCAATAATACTAGCATTTTAAAGTGTATCTACAATTTTATATTATAAAAAAATCTGAACCGGCACCCATCTTCTTCGTTCTCCATAATATAAGTAGTCTCCAAGTACTGTAGATGTTGCCGATATTTGCCGATGTCCACCTTTATAAAAACTTGGGAAAGTATCTGTTGCTGTCATTGAAGTAAAACGAAGACAGATTATTTGAATTTGCAGCTGTCTTTTTTGCATGTTTCATTGCCCTTCTGGTATTTTTATACAGGGTAAGTTTTAAATAAGTGCAAATATTTTCAGGGCTGGTAGATCTCGATAAAAGAAACATATTATTTTGTCTTTACCGTTTTTCAAATAACTCCAATATAACCAAGTTATTTTACTTTAAAAATTTAAGAAAAAAATAATTTTTTGGTTAAATTTTGAAAACCACTGGATCTTTTCTGGGTATGCTTTCTTGTAAATTTAATCTACTACCTTTGTTGCTGTATTACGAATATATTATGATTTTTAACTTAAATTTAATAAATAAGTCAATATAATTTATGCCTTTTAAAAACTTTTTTCTATTAAGTTATTTTTTTTTCGTTAAGCCAAGAACGTGTTTCAGGCAGAGGCAATATACTTGATGCTATTAATTTGACAATATTATTTTATTTTTTATTTAATTTTCAACAAGAATATTGGAAAATGTGTTTAATCTATTATGAATCTTACAGAATTTTTTTAACAGTGTAAGACTGATATAAAGGTAAATCATTATCATGTATGAAATACACTTTGAAATGCTTTTTATGCTGAAAATTAATTAGGGATATAAGGGTAAGTAAATTGCCAGATGGACTTTATCAAAAATCATTCTTCATTTACTAAACTTCCTATTTTTAACGTATTTATAATTCATTTTATATGTTTCTATTTATCTAGCAATATATGTAGGTGGAAAGTAGCTTTCTATTTTCTTTCTAACAACCTTTACAATCATGTAATTAAACTTATTTTTAGATTAAATTGATTTAATTCTATCTTAGATCTTTTAAAAGATATATTTTAATTTAGCTTGTAATTAGATTTAGACGTGAACTTCAAATAGGTAAAATCATTTTCATTTTGTCAATATAATATATTTTTTTAAGAATAATATACAGGGTGGTCCGAACTGTATTCCGGAAACTTTGGCAGCATATTCTGCTGATAAAAAAAATTTATACGAACTTTTTTACTTATTTTTATCAGCAGAATATGCTGCCAAAGTTTCCGGAATACAGTTCGCACCACCCTGTAAAATTTGAATTTAGATCTTGCACTGGAGTTTAATTGTGTTATATTTTTTTTATTTTAATGTTGAGTCAGTTTTTCAATGTTAGCATAAAGAAATCAACAACTATCTGCGCTTCTACCTGTTTGAATTCATTAATTATAGTTATGCCGTTGTATATAAGTAGTGTAAATATCGCAGTCAAGGGATCCCCAGACCAAACTCATCTAACCGTACGTATACATATAACACCTCCATTTTAGTTTTATTATATCTAGCACATTTTTAGTTGAAATTATGGAAACTTTATAAATAATGTAGTATCATTTTATACGTTTTATTCTTAACAAGATTTTGATATTGAATTGTTAGTGCACATTCTTGAAATTGTTGTTCTTTGAGCATAATAATTACCTTTCTATTTTCACTCCTATAATACGCCCGCCTACTTTTAACATTTCCTTCCTATCACTATACATGGTATAAAAAGGTATGGTATATATTTATAACAGCATTACGTTGTGGCTTAATAATAGCTTAATTTAACAGCAGCTATTGCAATTAATGGAAAACTTTACAAAAATTATTTAAAAAATATATTTTTTTGAAAAATAGGCAACTGTTTATTTTCTCCTTCTTTACACAGTGCCAAGCTTTATATAAAACGTAGTTGGCCTCTCACATGTACTTGTGATAAATAAATAAATGCCTTTATTGTCAAAAAAAATACAATTTGTAGACAAAGGTAAAGTACATAAAATACAAACAAAGTAACCAAACAAGTAAACAAACAAAAGAGAATACAAAACAAGTATACAAATTACATTGTCAGTCTTATTGTTTAAAATAAACATTTATAAATGTTTACAATGTCAAAGAATAAAAAAATGAAAATAGGATTCAAAAATATTTAGTAAGTTTATAATAAATATACTAATAGCAAATATTAGACCAGTGTTTACAAGATCAAATTCGATTATCAAAATATAAGTCATTTACGGCGTAGAAAGCCTTGTCTAGTAAATAAGATTTCAATGCTTTGCGAAATGAAGAAAATGATGTTATGGATTTGATTTCAAATGGCAGGTGATTGTGCATTTTTTTTGAGTTGTATAATATTGAACTTTTAACTAACTCTGAGCGTGGGGTAGGTAGATAAAGATCTTGCTCCGCGTTCCTGAGTGGATAAGTGTGAGATGGCGTTTCTTGAAAAGCTGATACATGTTTACGTATTAGGCAAACGGATTCACAAATATAAATAAGGAAGGGAGAGTTAATATTTTTAATTTTTTTAAAATGTTTTGGCAATGAGTTCTGCTGTTTAGTCCCAGTGAATATCGAACAACTCTCTTCTGGAGTTTGAAAATACGGTCAAATTGAGTCGCACAATACGTATCCCAGAATGGAAGGGCATACCTGAGGTGCGACTCAAAAAGTGCATAATAAACAGTTCTAGCCCCTGACGTTAAGCTCCTTAGAAAGAGATCTTAATGCAAAACAGGCAGAGCTTATTTTTTTCGACAAAGCGTCGATATGCATGTCCCATTTTAGAGAATTGTCTACAACAAGCTCTAAGAATTTTACAGATTTTACGACATCAGTGGTGGTGTTGTTAAGTACAAAAGGCTGCAGTAAGTTTTTATACGACAAAGCTTTAGTTTTAGAAATGTTGAGACTCAGGAGGTTCGAATCGCACCAAGATTTAATGGTCCATTTGATAGTCCAAGCCATTTGATATAATCATATGAAGTGCCGTGACGTCCTTATTGCTCCCTAAGGTTGCTCCATATGTATCATCAGTTTTTTACAAAAATACAGGGTCTACAGTTTATCGCCAAATCCGAACGGTACGATTTGAGAGGCTGTATTAGGAAATATACTCAAGGTAGTTTGTCGCTGTCTTCCTTGAGATCTTCTTCTGCTGGAATATGGCCACTTGTCTTTACAGCATTCAGCTAGATCTTTAGACGATGTCACCATAGTTACAAACTATGACGTTTAAGATATATTATGACTGCACAGTTTTCAGCGTGCACAGTGTTCAGCTGTCCAATTATTATTTTTTCATTATAAACGCTTATATTTCGGTAAGAGTATTTGATATTAAAATACTAAATTTTAAAAGAAACTAATAGGACCATCAGTTTAAAATAACAATGTTTGCAGTTTTTTTGGCAATTTCTTTAAAGCTATATTGAATTTTTTTTTTCAATATAGCTTAACACAACTCATTATAGGTATTAAGAGTCTCCGAGATAGCTTGTGGTTCTCGAAAAACATCTAATGCAAACTTAGTAGGTCACAAAAATTTACTAATAGATATAAAAAACACGGTACGTTTATTCTAAAGCATTTTAGTATTCAATACCTCATTTGCTACTATTAAAGAATTGGTTAGCATTTTCCTTGTCAGAGTTGGTACTAATAACAAAGATAGAAAAAATATATGTACTAACAGCGACCAAAAGAAATATGTTAATATCAGAATTAGAGTATTATAATATCCTTTTCTACGAGACGTGGTACGTAGGATCTAAGCATACCATACCTTTTTTTCGTTGTACCATGATCACCACTTAATACATTAACACGTATCATTCATACTAACTCCCCGCTCACTCCTTTAGGCTGCACCGCAAGATGCTCCTAGATGGCGCCACCGTTACCAAGTTGGCTCCGATGACGTCGTGTAGTCCGCCGGACGACCAGCCCGAGGAGAATAGCGTGGCGTCTTTGCCAAACTTACAGCGCAGGCCCAGCGCGGGCGCATCACTGTTAGTGTTCGTCCGAATCCTTTATTCTTCTATAAATAGTGGTCATTTATATGTTAGATCGTTGTAAATACTGAAATAGTATCAATGAGTTTCTCAGTAAGTACATAATATTTTATAACTCACAGAGAATAAAGAATTGATTCCGTTCCGTATATTTGCATTTAAAAAAAAAAATAATATGTAAATTTCATCACTCTATTTGCCAAAAATTTGTATATTTTTTATATTTAATTATTATATAGAAAATACAAGTCGAAAAGTTGTGTAGAATTTTGTGAAGATACTTGAGAACAAGCCATTTTGACCAAATAATGATTTAATATTAAAAATGACCACTCATATATTTAAATGTTTCATCATTTTTATTTGGCACTGTTTTTCTGTAATTGTACTTGGCTTTTACTTTTTTTGTTATTTTTCTTCCGCTTCTAGATATTACAAACTAATCCATTAATGTTGAAATTTGGCAACATCGTTGTTATTCTGTGACCGTGAAAGCTAACTTGTAACGTTGCCAACGCCCATGTTGGCTCCCTTTCATGCTGCATTATGTAATCGGGCGATATTTTATTGTCTGCATATGAACTTTTTTTAATAAAGAAATGCGAATCGTATGCATATGTATTATGCTAAAAAGGGAAAAATTTTATTAGAGACGATGTTGCCAAGTTTTAAAGTTTTAGTCTTTAATTTGTTTTTTTTTTATATTATCAGTTTTGTGATATATTTTCATCGCTTTTGTAGCTCTTCGAGATATTATACGAACATATTTTTTGAAGTTATACAGGTTACTTTTAAAGTTTTCTGATTAGGAAAAATTAAATAGTAACATCATTTTAGAGAAGGTATTTTAGGACAATACTGATATTTTGGTCACATACGCGGTTTTGTTTGTTTTGGTTTAAAAGCTAAATCTATATTTGAGTTTTATTTTATTACTTCAATATTTTCTATGATCTTATCAATTTCTCTATGAACTTATACATTTAACAGTACCGTATGATCGAATAAAAACGGCGTCAGCGATGGCTATGAAATGAAGATCGCTGTCATTTTATATGTAAAATTATATTGGAAATGTCATTGAACGTCGTCATTTCCAAGCCAACTGGACGCCATTTTTTTTCGATCATACGTTATAATAAATAATAGTTTTTATTTTTAATACAGTTTTTTTACACATCATTCAAATAACTTTTTTGATATTCCTAGAATGTAATAGACTCGTTTATATATTCTTAAAGTTACTCAACCGGTAGGACAAAATGTGCTGCCAGCTGGTGGGCAAATCGTGAAGCTTTAAAATGAATGGAAGATGTGATTAGGGGCGGAGTTAAAAATATCGATTATTTACGCTATTTCTCTTCGAGTAATGTAATAATATAGCCCGGATTTCTGCGAACGATAAAGATATAGTTCATAGTTATTAGTAATAGGTAGTTTATATTTTTCAAAAAACTTTGATTAGAATTCCTATTATTTGACTAGTTTAATTTGATTAATAAGACTAGATTAATTTAATTTAAAATAAATATGATCAGATTTTTGTTCCTATATTCTACTACCAGAAAACCAAAATTATATGATAACTCACTTTTAACCGAAGTTGAAAGAAGATATAGTGTATCTATCACAATACTTAATAGTATTACTACATTAGAAGAAAAAGAAAAAGAAAAAAAATACTCAAGTAACTTCACCTACTACTTAACTACAAAATAAACTCTTATAAACTACTTCTGGTATTCTACACTATAATCAAACTTAATAAATTAATCTAATTTTACACTACAACTACAAAGAAATAAGAAATTTTTTTAAAACTAGAAGAAACAGAACTTCGATACGTGCAACCAGTATGACCAAGCGGACAAAGAATATAAAATATCTTAAAATGTACATTCAGAAAGAAAAAAATATCTCGAAAATTATCTAAACAATTTTTTTTCTTATCAGTGAGAAACATCGGCCTCGTCGGCCTTGCAGAATTTGTCAGGTATTTAGAATGGTCGAATTGTATAATTATAAGCTTTTATAGCATAACATCTAATAGATAAAAAGTATCTGGTCGATTCATAAACAATTGACACAAAAAATATTTTTCTGTAGTAAAAGGCTGTAAAATACGCCCCGCCATCTGGTGCTTTACATCCATAAACGTCTTAGTTTGATATACTTTAAATAGTGTGATTCTGATTCTGTAAATTATCATTACAATTATGTTTATTTATAATCATACAAGACATTTTTAACAAAAAATGAGACGTTTCTAACTGATATTTATTCAAATTTAACCTTATTAATTTAGTATCGTGATTTCAAATATAGTAACCAGTAACCTGTATAACGAGGAAGAGTAATCAGTATTTACTACTAATTCTAATTATAGATCTGTTTCTATTTTTGTTTGTACAGGAATCCCAGCTCCGGTAGTTTGGCGACGAGCAGCGAAGGGGGCTCCCTGGAAAGGGCTAAGGCTACCTTCGAAAGGAGGAAAAAGCTGATCAATGGCCAAGACGACGGGGCCGGTACCGTATCGTGCAGAGTTGAGAACACCAGGGTGAACCCCGTCGATTTTATAGACGAACTGTTGAAAACCACCAATTTGGAACAGCACGATGGTTCTGCCGAGAGTAAGTGATATTTGATTTTTGTACCATCTGAGACTAGACAATAGTTAAAACTAAAATAGTTTCGGACTTCCATTGTCTTTATTTATTTTGCTTGCATCTGTCTTTACTTGTATTTACTTGTTTTTGCTTACTTATTGTAAGCAAAATTAATAAAAACAATGGAAGTCCGAAACTCTTTTAGTTTTAATACTGAATCATTGTCTATCACATTCAAAGTAAATAATAGTTCCGTCTAGGCCGTCATGTCCTGGTATTATTTTTACTTATTTTTTAGGGTTCCGTACCCAAAGGGTAAAAACGGCAACCCTATTACTAAGACTTCGCTGTCCGTCCGTCTGTCACAAAGCTCTATCTTATGAACCGTTATAGCTAGACAGTTGAAATTTTTACAGATAATGTATCTATGTTGCCGCTATAAGAACAAATACTAAAAACAGAATTAAATAAATGTTTATAAATAAAAAAGTACTTTCACTAAACATTATCTTTTAAGTAAGAATTTTACTTAGAATCTTTCAAGTCCTCGGTGGCCGCGTGGTTTAAAGCGTTAGGACTTTACACTGCTATGACGTTGGAGCCCTAGTAAGGCAGGTTGGAATCCTAGTCAAGGCGACATTTTTAAATCGTTTTTTTTAATTTTTACATATTTATTTTTACTTTTTACATATTTATTATTGATTAATACAATTTTTAGTAATGTGTTTCTTCATTTTTTTTTAATTTACTTATACGCGCATTCAGAATTTCAGCTAAATCGGAAAAAAAGTTTATAATATAATGTTGTATAGATAATGAATGGTACGGAACCCTTCGTGCGCGAGTCCGACTCGCACTTGACCAATTTTTTTATATTTATTTTAAAACATTAATGCTTTTTTTAATAGAATTAAGGGGGATTTTTATACTGTTTTAATTTTCATTAAAATTTATTCAAAACTAATTTATCGCATCAAGAAACTGCACGAGCAGAAGCAAAAGTTCAACTTAATTATTCTATTTATATACCTATTTAAGGGTATAAATAGCCCATCGGCCTGGATCTTTAAATCGATAGATATAATGGCATTTTCGCAGAATGTACATTTATTATGAGTAAATGAAATGTCCCCATTCATGAAGTTGGTAAGATAGTTGGGTTGATGACACAGAAAAATCAATTTTTCAATCTATTTTAGGGAGGGTTGTAATTCATTCTCGAAAAAGGTTTTCGGGTGATAGAAATTAAAATATTTACTAGTATTTATAGGTGGGTATAGATTTGGTGCATTTCAACCGATGTTTTAAAATTTCGACAGCAGCGCTCGGTACGGCTTTAATAGAGATATTTATTCATTTAACACATAAAAATCCTGAAACTACTCCAAAGACGTCGACAAATTCTGAGAAAAGCGTTATATTAAGCGTGTTGCCATTTGAAAATAAACGGTTTGTTTACATTTTGCTTGTACATTTTAGGCCAAAATAAATCAATACATATGGTCTACCTTTTATACATGTTTATGGCAAAACCGTTATTTTTAAATAACAGTTGAAACTGTTACTGTTATTTATATACAGGGTGGTCCGAACTGTATTCTGGAAACTTCGGCATCATATTCTGCAGATAAAAATAAGTAAAAAAGTTTGTATAAATGTATGTGCCAAAATGCTTAGTTTCGGAGATACAGGGTGTAGAAGTTTCATTTTTAATTCGATTTTTTCCAAATAATTTCTGAAGTAAAGTCAATATTTGAATGAAAACTGGTGTCTGGGAGTTTTTTGACATGAGAAGTTTGATTTTGATGTCAATATGGCTCCTACTACTAGAGGGCGCCACCTACATATTTTTTAACCGGTTTGAAGAGTAATAACTTTTCGTCCGTACCTGTATAAAACTACTGAGTAAAAAATATACATTTACGACGTTTTTTACGTAAAAAAGGTTTCTTGGTAAAAATCGCTACGAATAATGGTTTTCGAGATATTTGGAATCGAAATTATTAATACCTGTCATCATTGACATTAATTAAACATGTTGACTAAATAGTTATTAAACTGAAATCATAAATTTGAAATATTTTTGTGCCAAAAGTATAACAGAAACTGTTTTATCATCATTTTTTGCAGAAAAATTAATTTAAAAAAAATAAAAATTTTCAAATTGATTATTTCAGTGAAATAACTATCTACTTAACGTGTTTATTTTTTGTCAATAATGACATGTCCATAATTTCCATTCTAAATATCTTGAGAACGGTTGCTCGTAGCGATTTTTACAAAGAGATATTTTTTACGTAAAAAGTTGCAGAGATGTGTATTTTTTCGCTCGGTAGGTTTTATATAGGAACGGACAAAAAATTATTACGCTTCAAAACAGTTAAAACACATGTAGGTGGCGCCCTCTACTAGTAGGAGTCATATTGACATCAAAATCAAATTTCTCATGTCAAAAAACTTCCAGACACCAATTTTCATCCAAATATTGACGTTACTTCAGAAATTATTTAGAAAAAATCGAAATAAAAATGAAACTTCTACACCCTGTATCTCTGAAACTAAGCATTTTAGGACCTACATTTATACGAACTTTTCTATTTCATTTTATCTGCAGACTATGCTGCCTAAGTTTCCGGAATACAATTCGGACCACCCTGTATAACAGCTTAAAATAACAGGTTTCTGTTACTTTTTGACTTTAACGTTAAACATCTAAAATCCAAATTGTAGTAGAATCATACAAATCTTCATATTTATTTCTTAATAAAAAATAATGTACTTAAAATATAAAATTTATAAACAAATCAAACTCTGTTTTAATTTTTAGAATATGTTTATTATATTATTAATAATTAAGAAAATAATTATTAATAAAAATCAATATAACTAATATTAAAAAAATAATTAACTTTGACAGTCTTTATTTATTTAAGCAGTTGAAAAGCACTTAATAATTCTAATCACTAAAATTCTATTTCATTGAATCACTAAATTTCTAATCACCATTCACAATTTCTTGATATCGTTATTGCTGATAGGCAAGTAAAATTGTCTTTGAAAAGTTTTAAAAAGTAGCAAAAAACCATGAAAGTACATAATATTTAAAAATATTAATAAAAATTGGCGCCGGGAGGCATGTATAGCCGCCCATATTAAAATATGTTAATAATCAATTATCTCAACAACTGCGACTTTGATTTTGATGTTATTACAAATTTTGTTGCAAATGTTATTCCTAATCTTAAATTGAAAACCGCGTTTCGCTAGCTACTGTAATTTTGGAGTTACGATTTTTTAAAATTTTTAACCTCCCATACCCTCTTACGAACCCTCCACCCTCACCAAAAACTAATGGCCAGATTCTCGGGTGCAGTATTTTTGTGCCAAGTTTGGTTAAAATCGGTTTAGCGGTTTTTGAGTTATCGTGTTACAGACGGACGGACAGACAGGCAGACAGACACCATAAAAATATTTTGTACAAATAACTCATTTTAAGTGAAATTAAAAAAAAAATTTTTTGCTGATCTTAATAGCCTACCATACCTGTTGGTATGGTCGGCTAAAAATAACTAAGTAACTGAAACTTAATAACGAAGTACTGAAACAAAACAAAAACTTGAAGATGTAAATTAATATATAAAAATAAGTTTGCAGAAAGCAAAATAGTGCCGACTTTGTGTTACGAGCGGTCGATCTCTACGTGTCGTTATTTTATATCTGTTATTTTTTAGAAGTAGCAACGGTTGCGTTATGTTATTTCTAAATAACTGTTATAAAATAACAGACAGTTAAATAACAACCCATCTCTGCTATAGTATAAGTACCGTAAAATGGGGTGAATAGAAACAGTTTCGTAGGCCATTAGCGATATACCGGTTGATAAAAATGTGGTATTATTTTCCCGAATATTTTAAAACATGGGTCTTTGTTTGTTCTTTACGTATACATATAATTTGATTTTTGAAAAATATGCATATAAATATTATATAAAAATAACACTTGTGTTTCTATTGACCTGCTATTCGGGAGAATAGAAACACACATTGATGTTAAGGTTTTTATCTATTCTATTTCCAACAAGGTGATTAGAAACAGTAAATTATTACATATTTAAGTAGGTTTAACAATAATTAACAATACATATAATATAACAACTTACATGTACCAGCTTATGTATTAGTTTAAAAATAAATATTTTATTTATAAAGTTTTCGCGCCATACAAAATAGGTGATAAATCGATCTCACATTTATTGATCAGCTGATTGACAGAAACAGTGCTGCCACAGATAAAAATATAGTTTTTACATTTTATTGTGTATTACCAATGATAGAAAAATTAGATATGTCGACTCTTTTTACTTCGAATATTTTTAATCGTGATTTGATTTTTTTCAGAAATTTTGTTTCTATTCACCACTATGTTTCTATTCCCCCCATTTTACGGTAACTATTGTGTTCTAACTATGGATATTTCTGTTTTTCAGCATCGCGTCTTCAACTTTTCATAGCGAAAGATGGGACTGCTGCTGTGGGAAGTCAGGACGTTAAGTCACAAATGTCAACCGGGATGAACATGTTTCAACAAGTGGTAATGGACGATAGGTAGTCTTCAACGTCGTACTAGACTCATTGAAGTCTAGGGAAATAAAACAAAAAAGCTCCTTCCTTATTATTTTTTCTCGTACAATAAAAGAATTTTTTAATAATCATCTTACTTTGTGTGAGAAGGACCATCATCGTAGAAACATTTTTAAATGAATATTTGTATCTTTTAACGAAGAAATCAATTCAGGTTGTGTAATACATACATATATACATAGTTATTTAACCGTTAAGGAATAAAATGCCTAGTTTTTGGCGATTATATAAGATTTTTACTAAAAAACAAACGTTTTTTTAAATATTTATCAGATCGATGATTATATATGTACATATACATTATGAGTGTGTTCCAGTGAAAATGTAGTATATTATTAAATAATTATTACTGGTTAAGATCTGACCAACAGTACAGTTAGGATATCTTTACAGTTCTGTATCCAGAAATATACGTAGCAGTATAATCACACAACGTGTTGATTGTTGAATAATTTGTAAGATATTAAAGTAACAGAATGAGGGGAGATACATTTTCAAAATGCTCTGCCAGATACATATTTGTATTGTCAATGCAAATTAATTTAGTACAATTTTCGTACTTGATGAGACCCAATATTTTATTCTTTTGCGAATTGTGTCATCTAGTGTCATTAAACCAAAAAGATTGCCTGATAATATCTAATTACCTATTGATTGAACCTGAACACTATACAAGGTCTAGAAAGATGTCTGGATATTTTGCAACTGAAACAAATCTAAGTAAAAAATGTTATTTTTTGAAAAATACTACGGGATAGTAATCAGGGTTCTTATGTTTTAAACATTTTGTTTAAAAACAAGTGTTTTTTAAACGTGTTAAACACAATTACTTGTTTTAAATAATTATTTAAAGCTGTTTTAAACATCTTTGACGTGTAGGTGTTCTTCTTTCCATAAACAAATAAGAACACCTTTCTACAATTTAATAAAAAACAATTTTAATACAAAAAAAAGTAAAAAAACAAAATAACCACCTCAATCTAATATTGTCTAGAAAAAAATTATTCATCGCTTAAACTTATTATTCTGTGCTACAAATGGAGTACCATTACGTTCTCTAAAAATCGAATTTAGTTTTGCCACCTCATAGTTACCCAACCTATTTAATATTGAATAACATCCACTCTATGGAGTTTAAAACAGAGTAAAATAAATATGTCTTAAACAACAAACTTACTTACTTTTAAAAAACTCGTACCAACTTTGGGGATAAAATTGTGTTCAAATTAATAAAAACTGTTCTAAACAATAAAAACATGTTTATAGTCTGTCCAACAACAAAATCCTTGACAGTGATAGATGTGTCTGTTATTTTAATTTCAAAGTAGTTTATTTTATTTTACAAAGAAATAATTTGGTACAATTGTACCAAAAACACATAGCAGGAAATTAATATATTTAAAATTAGGGTGACAAGTGATTATTTCATAATATTGTGAAAAAAAACTGTATAAAACTGAAAAAATCTAATTGAGTACAGTCTGTGTTAAATACAAAACAAACATAGGTGTATTTTAAACAAAACGCCACATACCGAAAAAAAATACAAAAAGAACTATTTCTTACTTTCACCTAACCTAACCTAACCAACTTCAAAAAACTTACTGCATTTATTATATTTATCAATATAACTCAGACAAATAATAAAATTTTAATATTGCACAGGAATAAATAAAACACAACATAAATAAAACAAAATATTTTATTAATAATAGCACTTACTGAATTTTATACCTTAACAGTTTTTTTTAAACCAGTACCTTTATTATCTCTCTGCTGTAGTAAAATATATTATTTACACCTATCGTGTGATGTTATTTTACAGCTACTCTAGTTTTTAGTACCATACACGAGATGGTATACAAACTTTATTGATGGCAATTTTATTGATGGCTAATAAAACTCTCTAGGCACCGAATATTAAATTTAAAGTGTGCTCTGGGTCTACAGTTAATTTTCCCTCGATTTTTCCTCCACTTTAACTTTAAAAAACACAAATCATACGTAATAATACGAACTAAAATGCAAAAGCAATTCCCAAATGTTTATCGTCTTTGAGAATGCATAAGTCGCTCAGTTAGCTCTGCTCAAGCGTAGTGCGCAAGCCTGGATTTTGAATTATCGATCGGATAACTAGACCAATAAGAGGCTAATCCTCAGAGTAAGAGCTAATCGATATTCGGAATTTTGGAGTTGCGCTATTGCGCCAGTGTCTGCCTAACAGACGAACTTATGTGAGATATACATGGACCGGTTATCTAGTTGTCTCTACCTCGGCTTCAACTCCGACACATTGCAGGGTAGGCGATAATCTATATATTTGATATGTATATGCCAGACACTAACCCAGTGGCATTTTACAAAAAAAATACTTTTTTCAGATTTTTCTTTCAGTATTGAATAACACAGCCTTTTTTGCAAAAATGAACTCGCCACAAAGTTATATACATTATTTTCTATACAGAGTGTTTTTTAAATGAGTGTAACTTTTTTAGTGCTGTTACATCTCAATAAAAGAAGCTTATTTTCTATTACATCTTTCAAATGAGTATAAAATTGAGTTTATATTTTGGCGAAGCACCTGGCTTATTCTTTTGTAATACAAGGTCAAAGAAATATTTAAAAAAAAATTGGAAAACCTTTGGCTCTAAAAACTTTTCTAAAATATACAGGGAAATTAAAAAAAATAATTTTCAATATTTATCTTTCCAAAAAATCTGATAGGGTCGAAATATGCTAACACGCATTACCTAGTGGCCAGACTGTTTTTGTGGTTTAATGACACTTGAATTTCGTTATAATATTATTGACAAAGGTGATTAGATTAACTTATTATTAATGTAATGCAAAGGTGCAATACCATGGAACATTGTACTGGGTACAGGACCATTTCCAGAACTTTCCAATAGCTTAAATTATAAATTGGGCTTCTCAAAATTTTGTTTTATCTTCCACGATGAATATATTGTTTGATTCTTCTAATGCCAGTGCCACACGTGCGTAACGATGATTTGAGTGATTATTGCATTAAAATTTGGTGCACATTTGTTTTAACTTAAAACTAGTAGTTATCATAATTAATAGAAAATAAAATTACAAATCAACTAAATTTAAAATTAGCAATTTACTTGAATTTGTAAATATTAATCTACCGTACTAAATGCTTTAAAGCCTAAAAGTTAGTTATCCAGTGTTCCAAAAAATAACTCGACTGAGGCTTCCTATTTGATATTGTTACTCCAACCTTTTTTTACAATATATGTAGCTAATGTGTTGCACATTTTAAGAATATTTTGATAATTATACAGATACTGGGGGTGATTTACTTTCAGCACATTGAAAACTCCAACTGAGTGCCATGACAATAATGTAACGACAATTTGACTCGAAATACCAAGTATATGGTACCAAATTATTAGTAAAAAAATATTTTTCCAAATATGCTAATAAGCCATCCGCGTTTCATTTGAAAAAATTGAAATATGATTAAAATTACGATTTGGGCATTTTTTAGCCGGCCAGGACAAGACACTAAAAACATTAAACTGCAACTCTATTTTTCCAAGGCTCCTTGATTAAAAATTAGTGTTTTTAACACAATCATGACTCTCTAGATAGAAATTTAAAAGGGGTACTATTTTTTAAGCGAAAATATCAAAAATTGACATAATATGATATGTCATTCTATTCAGAGTGTCATTTTCTATCGAATAAAGTAAAAAAAACGAACGACGTAAGACGGATGCATATATTATATACACACCTTTATACTACACGTTTATATTTCTTAATGCGCCGTACGTCGGTCAGTTCAACCATTCATGGTGTAATATGATCTGTTATGCATACCGGGTGCATTTAGACTGACTTAAGATCTATTTGAATGTCATGCAAGGCGATCTATAAAATATTTCTAAAATGTGCGTTATGATTACCCGCATATGTTGTAAAAATGATTAGAATAAATGGTTTATATAAACATGAATCTTTGTCACAATAACCTTAATGTGGCACTTGCAAAAGAAGATTTCTAATAGTTCTGTGCAATTTACTAGGCCAGGTGTGGTTACGAACACGAAAACTATAATTTTTCTATGTCAATATAAAAATAGTATTAAGATTAAGAAAAGTATGATGTATTGTTGCCAATAATTGTGATATCGATATTGTTATTACTGTAATATTTAACGCAGCTGAGGACCCGTTTTTTATTTAATGGATAGATACCCAATACTGGACCTAATGCACACAGAAATAGCAAAACTGTTTTTTTTTTTATTCGAAAGTATTAATTTTTGCGACGTGATTGACAATATAAAAACGTCATTTTAACACCTAGGCATAAAACTGCCTAGGCACAAAACCTACGCCTACGCGTGCTTACAACTAGTATCTCACAAATTATCAGCTAGTTTGAAAATACTATCAGATAGCCCTAATAAAATGGTTATTAGAATGTCCAATTAGTTTTTTGATTTTCTAAAAAGTAACCACTGGAAAAAATTAAATTGATTTTCAAAAAAATCCGTTTTACTAACTTAGCAATCCTTGAAATTTTTAAAACTTTTTTGACAAGATCTTGGTGAACATCGCAAGGCGCAACTTTGCCCCAATTTAACCATCTTCGTATCTATTACGGTTTCCGAGATACCAATGCGCGTACCTCGAATTTGTAGCACCCTGTATATTCAACTATTGTCAGTTCTCGTAATAGGTAATTTATTTAAAATCCCTAGTCACCTGAAAAAAATAAACGATATGGCGACGTTGCAAATTTTCAGATTTCTAGATTAGATCTAGAATATATTTGTCTCTCTCATTTCATAGGAGAGAGAGAAGGATATATAAAATGTCAAACTTCCATCTGGTCTAAATTTTCTTTGTTATTTTGTTAAAAAAGGTATTTTTCAGTAAAATTATGGATATTTGCTATCCTCAATCAAGTGTGGCTTTTAGATAAACTATAATATAATGAAAATATAGTAGAATTATTACCTTATAGGGTCGAAATAAAGAAAAATTCAATGTTGAAATTATTTTTTATTTTTCTGAGAAACGGTAAGAGACCGCCAAGAAAAAAGTCCAGATTCGTAATCTACAACCTCAAAATAGGATGTATACCAATTTTGGTGAAAATCAGACGATTTCCACTTTTTCCAATAATTCCCATTTTTTTAACATAAAACGACGGTCGATCATCCTGACTGACTAAACGAGACTAAACATGTCTTAAGCATTTTTGCACATTTGCATTAAGGCATCACATGAAAACAGTTTTAGTGAAAAATATTTCTGAATAAGACTGGTTTGCTGTTTCTGTGTGCGTTCAGCCTAAATAAAGATAGGCGCTGCAAAACCCGTACTTTTTGAATAAGAAACGGGTTTGTACATTACCGTTCTACTAAGACAATATTATTTATTGTAAATTATTTTAGTTTAGGTATACCTGATATTATTTATTTTGTTAAATATAGTGTAAAGATATTACATTTTAGCGAGACGAAAAAATAAAGAAATCGATTTTTTTGTTTAGTATTGATTTTTATTTTTAGTTAGCATCAGTTAATGACCAGTGCGTGGTTTGGTTTGGAGCGGAGCGGAAGGTACTGGATTCGATCCCCAGCCAGTACGGTCGCTTTATTTATTTAAATAAAAATATTTATTTATCTAAATAGAGCGACCAACGAGCCGCCATGCCACCTCAAGGAAGGCAATGGCAAACCACCTTGAGTATATTTGCCTTGTACAGCCTCTCACATAGTGCCGTTCGGATTCGGCAATAAACTGTAGGTCCCGTGTACTTGTGAAACACTGATGACACACATCACAAGTACATGCGAGAGGTAGCCGCCGCTCTATATAGAGTATGGCACTGTAAGAAGAATGAGCAGTGCGTCTCAAAATTCGTCGTAACCAAAGTCTCCTTTTCAAATCTTACCTTATCTAACGTCAAGTTCAGTAATATAATGGTAACTGGTGTATTGATGTAGCTAAGATGTTACCTTCTTAAAACAAATCATCGCAATCCACTTACTTTTTTGAGCCATCTTATAGTAGTTAAAATATTTTCCTGAAATATATTCTAGTACATACTTTAGGTTTACACTTGAACAAATTAACTAAATTCTCAAGGTTTTTATTCTAGGAGCCACAGATGCCCGACGCATTGTTGCCCTACCCTGTATATCATAGGACAACTGACATGACGGCAAATTAAAAAAAGTCCATATATGTAAAAGTTTAGGTTAAGAAGAAAAAGTCAAAAGAGAAAAGTTGTTCAGAATAATATTTTATGTATATAAGTACAGGGTTGTCCGAACTGTTTTCCGGAAACTTCGGCAGCACATTCTGCAGATAAAAATAAGTAAAAAAGTTCGTATAAATGTATGTCTTAAAATGTCCTAGTTTCGGAGATATAGGGTGTAGAAGTTTCATTTTTATTTCGATTTTTTCCAAATCATTTCTGAAGTAATGTTAATATTTGGATGAAAGTTGGTGTCTGGGAGTTTTTTGACATGAGAAATTTGATTTTAATGTCAATATGACTCCTATTTGTAGGGGGCGCCACTTACATGTGTTTAACTGTTAAGTAATAACTTTTTGTCCGTACCTGTATAAAACGACAGAGCGAAAAAATATACGTTTCCGTGTTTTTTACGTAAAAAATGTCTCTTGGTGAAAAACGCTACGAGCAACCGTTCTCAAGACATTTAGAATGGAATCAGTCAATACATGTCATTATTGACAAAAAATAAACGTGTTGTGTTGATAGTTATTTGATTAAAATGATAAATTTGGGAACTTTTTATTTTTTTAAATCATTTATAAATTTGTCTTTGAAAAAATGATGATAAAACAGTTTCTATTGAACTTTTGGCACCAAAACATTTGAAATTATGATTTCAGCCTAATAACTATTTAGTCAACATGTTTAATTTATGTCAATGACAACAGGTATTGATAATTTCGATTCCAAATATCTCGAGAACCATAATTCGTAGCGATTTGTACAAAGAGACTTTTTTTACGTAAAAAAACGTCGTAAATTATTTTTTAGTCGGTAGTTTTATACGAGTACGGACGAAAAGTTATTACTCTTCAAACAAGTTAAAAAATTGGCGCCGGGAGGCACGTATAGCCGCCCATACTAAAATATGTTGATAAAAAGTTGATAGGCAGTTCTTTTAGTTTCAAAGTAAAAGAATTTTTCCAATTTTTTTTATCTCAAAAACTGCGACTTTGACTGATTTTGATGTTATTACAAATTTTGTTGTAAATATTATTCCTAATATTAAATTGAAAACCGCGTTTCGCTAGCTACTGTAATTTTGGAGTTACGATTTTTAAAATTTTTTAACCCCCTCCCATACCCCTTTACCAACCCCCCACCCCCACCAAAAACCAATGGCCAGATTCTCGGGTGCCACAATATTTTTGTGCCAAATTTGGTTAAAATCGGTTTAGCGGTTTTTGAGTTATCGTGTTACAGGCGGACAAACAGACACCATGAAAATATTTTGTATTTAGGTCATTTATGACCCAAATAATTCATTTTGAGTGAAATTATTTTTTTTTGCTGATCTTAATAGTCTACCATATCTGTTGGTATGGTTGGCTAAAAATATGTAGGTGGCGCCCTCTACAAATAAGAGTCATATATGATTGACATATTCATCATATATTGACGTTACTTCAGAAATTAATTGGACAAAATCAAAATAAAAATGAAACTTCAACACCCAGTATCTCTGAATCTAAGCATTTTGGGACATACATTTATACAAACTTTTTTACTTATTTTTATCTGCAGAATATGCTGCAGAAGCTTCCGGAATACAGTTCGGACCACCCTGTATATTAAGTTTCATAAATATACTACAGGGACTTCAATCAGTCTCAAATTACAAATATTTGCACATATCGAGATCTAGCAGGACTACTAGATCTCGATAAAAGGAATATATTTTTTCTTTGCCGTTTTTCAAATAACACACTCCAAAATAGCCCAGTTATTTTACTTCCAAAATTCGAATAATTTGCAACATAAAATAGCGAAAAGTCGCTGTTGGCGCACTGTTATTCTGATATCTGTTATTTTTTGGAAGTAACAACTGATACTTAATAACAGTTGTAAAATAGGTGATCGTTAAATAAGTACCTGTACCTTCTTACACTGTATATGTCATGCTCTCTATACAGAGCATGACAGTGTAACACATTGATATTCTATTGCATAAAAATGCACAAGGATTTCTAAAGATTTTTCATCAGTTTCTCTATTTGTCAAAGCGGTTAAAAGGAAAATTAAAAACAATAATACTGGATGTACAACCATTTATTTTTGTTTTAACAAAAATGAAATAGAACAATTCCATGTCTCTGCAGAAACGTCGTCGGAGTCGATTAAAAAAAAGATACAAAAATATATAAAACACAAACTAAAACCTAACTTAATAAATAAATATAAATAATATAACACAAGGAATAAATACTTAAAATACAATGACTATCGGACGAGTGAATCAGGTTTGCGAGTTTTAAATCCAAATGGGTGCTGGCATCTAGATGTGGCTGTAGAATGGTACCGAGTTGTGTTTGTAGAACCTATTATAATAAGTATGAAATTAGTTTATCATTAATTTTCTGTTATAGTGTACAGGGTGTCCTATTTTCTTGTGTTTTACAAGGTATCTCGCTTATGGGTAGAGATACAAAGATGCGGTTTTCACATCACTGTGCTACGAAATATAACCTAAACTTATGTTTTTTAAATGGAACACAATGTATATTATTTTTTATTAAATTTGCCTTGTCATGAGCTTTCTAAAAATATAGTAGATCCTAGTCTTATTTTCATAAATAAGGAAAAAAAAGTCAAAAAATACATTTTTTAACGTAAGTACCGAAAATTTTCACTGCCTCCTGGACTATAATCGAACAAATTGATAGTGTAAAATTTTTAGACTAAATAATAAAAGAACTGCTTGATCTAAGTAGGAATCATCTCTGTATTGAAAACAGATATTTGTACTGACTATGCACAGGTAAAAAAGTAAAATTGGTCTAGTTAATGTAGACCATTGCAGACTCTATAGTTAATAAGAAAAAAAAATCAGAAAAGCCCATTTTTTGTCACTGTATAAGAATCTGGTTTGCAAAAGATTATAAATAACTAGGAGTAGACCTAGGGATGATGAAGAGAATTATAGTGCAATAGAATAATTTGATTTGGATAACCAGCCACATTTTGCGGCTACAGTGTTTACAGTTATAAAAGGCGTATACAACCATTATTTAAAGAGTGTATAGGCACAGATTAGGTATACTATATGTATACAGATAAAAATCTTGTACCTAATTCGTGGTACGAGAATTGTTTTTTATGACGATGAGCAAACGAGTAAAATTTCCTGTGCGCAAAAAGAAACTCGCGTTTAAACAGCGTAATAACTGGGCCGGTCAGGCGCTGTGCACAATTTTAGAGGCCATAAGTGGGCGTGGTATGTGCGCAAACTAGTAACCTAACTAGTGCGCGACTCCGAAAATTGGAACCACGAAAAACAATGCTTTTGACGATAAGTTTATAATCTGTATAATATGTGGTATTAATAGGCTTTGATGAAAAAGGAATGGTTATGATGCAATATACGGAAAAAGTATCCAAAAAGAATTGCTCTACTAATTTTGCTCTATTTATTTACTTACTTTGAATTCTCTTGATGTCCTAGCAAGCTCTGAGCATCTATTCCCTTGTTCAGCCCATAGACAGACCCCTGTTGGCCATGTTTGTTGTGACCATACTTGCCTACTTCTCCATTTTCTTTCTTTAACTCGTGCGCATTGTTGCTGTGGCCAGATTTTGCAACTTCTGCCTTGTTGTATTTGCCATCCTCGTGGGCCCCCTAGAATCAAACATTTTCAATATTATATTCACTAGGTTTTAAACTTGTATTTTATTTTAAGTGTTTTTTTTTTCGTGTGGCACCATGCATAATACTTTAATTACATCCACTGAAGAAATCAATTTTTGGTTTTTCAAAAAAGATATGTTTTAGCGAATAACAACAATAATTATAACAATAACAACAATAACAAACAATTTTTTTTATTCACGTGGTTGAAAATTATTGAATTACTAATATCGCTATTAAAAAATACGGGTTGATGGTAGAACGGTGAAAATTTAGGATTGTATGTAGTCTTGAATGCCACATAATGACATAATAAAAAAAATGTTTTCCAAAAAATAAAAAAAATTGGGGTGGATCACCCCAGGGGTATAAAAATAGATAACGACCTATTCTCAGACCTACTGAATATACATATAAAGTCGTTTCGGAGAAGTATAGTAACTAAAACTGGAACACGAGAATTTTATATACCTACTATTAGATTGTATAAATTTGTATTAAATATGTCTTACCTTAAATGAGGATTCTCCCTTCTTGCCGAATGCTCCGGCTTGTCCAGCAACATTGCTCTTGCTACCTTCGTCATGAGCTTCATCGTAGAATTCTTCTGTCTTGCCCGATTCGTCCTTATGATGGGAGGATTTGTATCCCTTAATGCGATGACCCTTTTTGTGACCCTGTTGCTCTTTGTGTTCGCCTTGGTTTATGCCCTTTTGGTTGTAGTTCTGGCCCCCGGAGTAGTGTTTTCCGTCTTGGGCAAGGTTGTTTCCTCCTGCTAGGTTCTGGTAGTAACCTTTTTCGCCTTTGCTGTCGACTATGCCGGAGTTTCCATTGACATATCTGAAATTATAATAATGTGAGTTGGAATTGTAACACCATGTAGGTATTGCATCTCTGAAACATTGGAAATATCATATAAATATTGAAATGATTAAAAATTTCCCATTTTGTTTTAGAGGATTTTTAAACGAACTCATTAAAATCAAGCAAATTGTTTATTTTAGGTAGTTTTAAACGAATTCCTTTTGAAATTATAAGAAATAGAAGTTATTTTTTTTCATTTAAAGCTCATTTATTTAATTATGTCTTATTGTATTTTTTATGCAGAACAAACACATCATTTAAAATGTATTTGATGTACAGCTGGTTCCAAAAAAAAATGAATACGACTCTTTAGACATTTTTTTCGAATATTTGAGCAGTGTATATTTATGTGTCAAGTATTTTGACATGTTAAGGTTATTGTTGACATTGCATAAAACAACTTTGCTTTTGACAAAGTGCCAAATAAACTTTTCAGAATGTCAGCATGACATGAGTAGAGAAATGGAGGACTGGTATCATAGAATATACTGCCCGAAATAATAAAAATATGTTTTAAATCGTATTCAATTTTATTGGAACCAGCTGTACCTGTAGAAAAAGAAAATTATGCTATGATAATGGATATATAATACGATATGAGGATTTAAAATCCTTAATGAAAATCATCGATTGGCTATTATTGACTAATTGATTTATTATTGATCTATATTCATCTGGAATTAACTTAACCATTTTCCTGAGATTGCTATATCTTATCTATAAAAGCCTATCTCTTATTAGCCTATCATGGGATTCAAACATATGGGCTCAAAATTCAAACTTAAAAACTAGTAGCGTTGATTAAAAAAATAATAAAATGCGCAACCTTATGGGCGATTTCGTGGCATGAAACCTGTCCGAGATGTAGCTGGCGTTACCGTCAGTCTGTCCGAGATTTAGTTTAGCACTGCGCCGCTGCTCGCTGATTTTATAGCACAGCGGATAAAGAATATACTGTACCGTAATTCTACTTTCAGTCAACAGAGTTAGTGGTTGCCGGAAACAGTGTTGCCCAAATTAATCCGTAGATTTGCGGATTTTGGGTACAGAACGTTAATAATACGGATTTTCTATCATTAAACAATTTAATATAATGTTATATAATTAAACAAAGAACGGCGTCAGAGTTGGCTTCAAAATAAAGATCGCTGTTATTTCATATGTAAAATATTATGGTAGATATCAATAATCGTCATTTCCTAGCCAACTAAATGACTTTTTTCGATCATACGACATATTCGGTACCTATGAAAGAATTTTTATTTTTGTTGTTTATTCTATGTTTTGTTGTTTATTCTATGTTTAACACGAATAAATTTTCAATACATAAACGCGAATTTTTCATCCAAAGATATTGTCGTTAAACGTATTACAGATATTACACATTTTAATATGGCAACACTGTCGCTTCGCTTTCAGATTCACATGGCCTTCGATATGTCTTCGATGGCCGAATTAGAGAAAATAAGTGTTTTATGCGTTGGCCGCACAACGATTGGAGTCTCCACCGTACAGCATTTGAGACGCAAGGGAAAATCAAATCAGCCTTGTCACGAATTCGCCCATTAGGTTGCGTATCTTCCCAATTCTTTCAATCAACGCTAGTAGCTTGTTAAAATCAGAGAAGTATTCCTTCCTATTTTATTTAATATGTTATTTGTTTATTGTTTAAAAACTCTTAGATAATACTAACCCTCCACCTCCATTGTTATATTGAGCTCCTTGACTTCCACCGGCTTTTTCGTAATTGGCATTGTTCAAATTTTTGTGGCCTTTGCTGTATTGATCATGACCTACCGCTGATCCACCTATAAATTATATAGATAATTATTTAACTATTATTTTCAGTACATCATAATTAATAATAGAATTATAAAATTCCGATATTTTTAAAAAAGGATAATACAGAATTAAAATTAATGGAAAGAATATGAAACTTATAGATAAACCATAGACTTAATTTATTTTAAATTAATTTTTTTTTAACTTTAGTGGTTTTCGTTCTAAGTTTGTGAATATTAAACAGTACAGACTAAACATACTTTGTATTCTGAGCAAAGAACTGGAAAGAATAAGTTTCATAAAAAATATTTATACGTCAGGCTTTCATGGAGTTAGCTATCAATTTATATACAGGGTTTCCCAATATATGATCTTTAGACAATTATACAGGGCGCCCCAATATTCCGTGGACATACGTAGTAGTTTTACTACGTATTTTTGGAATCAAAATAAGTTCATTGGACACAATTTACCTCTATACAAAACTGCTTCGTTTGTCCGTTAGAGGGCATCAAACTTTAAAAATATAAACACATTTTTTTAAGATATTTTAAGAACCGTTATTCCGATTTGAATGATATTTGTTGTGCCTATGTTTTGTTAAGATTCGACTTTCACAAAAATCCAGAAAAAGTATCGGAAGGGTTAGAACTACCCCCCAAACTGCCCTGCATAAATTTTAGTAGAAATATTTTCTAACTCCACCGACGACTGATTGTTTTCCGTAAAATAGTCCTTCTAGTGTTTACTACATTTTTATCTTTTGTTAAAAATCACCACCTCGCATACATTTTGAGGAAACATTTTTTTCTCCGGAGCTTCCTTACAAAAATGTTTCTTCTCACATCAAGCTATGTACAGGGAGTTTCTTAATGTTATGCTAATATATAATTAAAGTCATTTTAGTTCAGGGTCAAAACGCTAAAAATCTGAGGCGGTGACTGATGTGTGGAAATCGTTTTTGTATCAGCTGGATGGAAATTAAGAGATACAATAAAAAAATTGTATTTAAAAAAAAACAGTTTTATGCATAGAAGATGTGTATAATATTTCATAAAGATAATTATAACAACCTCAGAGTTATTATGAAAAAAAAATTTTTTTTTTAAATTTCCACCATTTATCTCAAAAGTTAACATGTTTAGGACATACATTCATATGAAGTTTTTTCTTAAAATAGGTCCAATCATTACCTCTTTAAATATTAACATGTCATTAAGGAACACCCTGTATAATAGGCACATAAAATATAATAGGCGCTAAAAATCTAGTTGGCAAAAATATTGAACTTTATGTTATTACTAGTTGAAGCCTGGCGACATCAGGAAAAAAATTCTTTTTATTTTTTGTTTAATTAAATGAAAAACAAAAAATCCGACGACGACAGTTTTTAGAAGAACCAATTAGCTATCTTTTAGCAAAAAAAGCAACTTTCTAGAGCAAGTCGTTACTTCAGTAGAGACGACACAGATAAACATTAGCATTTTATATTATGTAGATTACAAATGATATTTGGCAACAAGCTTCATAAATTTTAAATTAATTAACGTTCGGGTTTATTTTTGATTGCCCTCTAAGAGACATACGTACTAGTTGTATGTAAAATTACGTAGTAGTTGTATGTCCCCGGAATATTGGGACACCCTCTATAGCATTAAACTTTAGATTAATTACTGGAAGGCATAAAATTGGATCCCAGTAATGGACAACACTAACTCACCATAACCTGCTCCGTATAGGCCACCTCCTCCAATTCCTATACCTCCAGCTCCGATTCCACCTCCTCCGATTCCGCCTCCTCCAATAAACTGGCCTCCTCCTATACCACCGTACCCTAGACCTCCGTGGAGTCCGATACCTCCAGCTCCCAATCCGGCTCCTCCTAGACCAATTCCACCGCCTCCCACTCCTAATCCGGCGCCTCCGAGTCCGATTCCAGCTCCTCCAAGTCCGATACCCCCTCCTCCTATCCCTAGACCGGCTCCGGCCAATCCCAGGCCAGCTCCTCCGCCGCCTGCACCAATCAGGCCACCGCCGCCTGCACCGATTAGGCCCTGACCAGCTCCGATGAGTCCGGCGCCTCCGTGGAGGCCTAGACCGGCGCCTCCGCCGATTAGGCCTGCGCCTCCACCTCCTATGAAGCCGGGAGCTGTAGCTACGGAGCCGATTATTCCGGTTTCGGCGGGGTAGTAGCCGCCCTCCTCCACAGAGTAACCCCGGATTGGTACGGTGGAAGCTTCGCTTTGGTAGCGGTACTTATACATGGGCTTTTCATTTTCCAGAGATTCGCCTTCAGTACAGGAAACCTGTGGAATAGAGTATAGAGTTCAGATTGAGTATAAAGTCGTTCCAATGAGCGAATACACGATAGTGACATCGATTGTTTAATTCACACATACATTGCATTTTCTTTGAGCAAGTATCACAGTTCAGATACTTAGGAATAGATATGTCGCACTATCATGATCCAGAGAAAGATCTGAGAAGCCAGATAAACAAAGCAACGGCCATGTCAGGATGTCTGAGGCAAATAGTGTGAATAAACCCCTTCATGCAAATAGACAGCAAAATAAAAATTTATAAGACCTGCATCAGACCAATAATGACATTAGAAATACAATAGCATATGACAATAGCATAGAAATCCGAGAGGAAACAAACAAGACCAAAAACATGTTAAGAGTCGCTGAAATGAAGAACCTGCTAAGAACCATAATGGAGAAGTCTAGAAGAGACAGGTGGTGTATTGCGGTTAAGTAATTAGTGTTTTATTTTGCTGTTGTAACACCAAAGGTTCAACCCCCAACTGTAATCCTATTATGGAACAAGTCTGATTCTGAGCTCTATTGAAGCTCTGTTTAAAAAAAACTATCAAGAACAGGAGCTGCAAATGAAAAGTGGATATCTACTCAAAATCATGCGAAGATGACCTGCTGTGTACTAAATAAGCTGTAGCCCGAATACTGGTAAACGTCATTAATAATATGTTTAACTAATGACAATATTTTATTAAGTAGCTTTTCATTAATGAAATCGTTGGAAATATTTTATATAAATAATTCGATAGCATGATGATTTATTAATCAGTTGTAGTTATTTGTGTATTATCCAGATATTTGAATTATGACGTTGAATTATGACATTGAATTAATGATAACAATTTTTAGTTCAAAACATCAACGTAAAAATGCAATGGATATTTTTATTAAACAATCTAAAAATTTTATGAGGCATCTTTGACCTAAAGTACACTAAATAGATTAATAATTGATCAGATATAGTTTTAATTTACTTAACTTTATGTAATTTCAGTTTATCAGAACGTCAACGTTTTTAATATACGTGTTTAATGACGTGTTTTCATAGAAATGTCTGTACTAAAAAGCTAAAGTTTTCTTGTATTGTAGTAGTTACATTATGATATTTTAAACAGTTTTTCCTTATTTTTCTTCTTTTTTGCTTCTGAAGACGAATATATACCCTGAAGACGAAATATACGCCCTAAAACGTTAAGCATGCTTTCTTGGTTAGGCATATTTGCAATGACAATTTTTCAGTGACAAGCTGGTTTGCGTTTGGGTTCAACATGGGTTCAACCTCAAGGTTCAACGCCGTAGTATTTTAGAAATCATAACTTTATATTTTTAGTATTGAAAATACTTCTGGCCGCGTTTATATGGGACCCATCTTTGAAAAAACGACATGCTAGAGGCGACATGGAGTTCAATAACCTGCCTAATCAACTTGTCAACACGTAAGTCGATAGCTGAAGGCCGTCCGAGGGTCGAAATGAGGTCTTATTAGTGTGGGCCAACTGTTTTATGGATATGGATGTTTAGTCTCTGAAAGCGGATATTATTATAAAAAAGAATATGCATCAAGGCATAGGGTTTTAAGTACAGTTGGGCTATTTTAATCTAACTCTTTCCGTATGAGAAGCAGGGGGCAAATTATACGTGAAAGAGCGGAATAACATAAATAATAAATTTAGACTAATGCAATATTTTTTCTTGGCGCGTAGGATAATGCGCACAATCGATGCATTACAGGGAATAATTAATTAAATCATTAAGTTCCAAAACATATAATAATTCGGGTCTCATCGGATCTGCTGATATATTTTGATAAAATTTAGGCTATTAGGACCTATATTTTTTATATGATAATTATTTTTTTAATTAACAACTTAGGACACAGAAAAAGCTTGCATGGTTTCCACCGCCAACGTAAAACAAATTAGTTCAAGGCGGTGCCAAATATTTATTGGGATAAGTTTTTAAACGATTTAAATATTGTTCTAAATAATAATTATCATTTAATTAGTGCTAACTTATTAAATTTTACAACATGGCGAAATTTCAACAAAATCAGCCAACAAATCTTTGAGATATTAATAGGTCTATTAGAAAACACCTTGACACCCCTGTATCTTTAAAATTATACATTTCCGGGCACATGTTTATATGAACTTTTTACCTTAAAAACATTCAAAGGATCACCTCCTGAAGTTTGGCCAGATACTTAATTAACATCCTGTATTTAAAAATGGCTATCTAGTGATTTAGTAAGCTTTGTTTATTTTAATAGGCAAAAAATTCATTTCATAAAAAATAAACAAACCCATAATACAAATACTATACACCAATTAATTAATTTTAATTGTATCTAAAGGCACTTTAATAATTGAAAAATGGACAGGAGCACTTAAAAATAACTTCATAGAGTATATCAAATATGCTAAAAATAATAATTCCAATAAAAAAACACAAATGGCACATTAAAATCTGCATTATCTGAAATCAAACTATAGCTAAACGGCTAATAAAATAATAGAGACAAGACGCCGACATCTATAACAAGATGAGCAGTTTTTAATAATTATTCCGAGTTATTATTACATACTTGTTTTACAATTATTGTAATACAATAGCATTCCTTCAAATAAATTTTGATTTAAGTATTGTTAATATAGTCATATTAATGATTATAGCCCGTACGATTTCTAAAATAAATAATCAAGAGTGTTTTTATCAGAATTATTGTATGATTAAGTAGAAATAGTTAATATTTAGTAACTTCGTAAGTGTTATATTTTAATATAATTATGAATTTAATAATTAAATAATTATCTTAAGTTTAAATTGTGGTAAACTTGTATGAGTTTCAATCATTTATATTTAAAATCTTAGGGAAGGCAATATAGATTTTAGGCAGGAGAACTCAAGAGAACGACTGTGCAATTAGTAATTAAGACTACAATTTTTTTTTACTTGCCATTTTCTTCTCGTTCACGTTGCACGTTGACTCTTCGTTGTGTCACACACAATCTGAATTTCGGATATGATGCAGAACTGATAAATTGGACCAAATATATTAATTGCAGGTAATCAAAGACATGTTTTTGTTAACTTTGCAAACATTTAAGGCATGCAATAATTTTAAAAAATTTTGACATGAGATTACTTTATAATTCTTGGAAGTCTTGGATGATAAAGATTTGAATTATTATGGGTCTGTTTTGTTTAAGAAGCTAACAAATAATTTCAAAAACTCAACTATCAAAATATAATGGTAGCAAATTTTTAAAATAATGCATAGCTATAATGTTCTATATTAATTGGACATACTGAATGTAAACTAGGTATAGTTGCTGCAATCGATAATATATTGTTGCGAGCCGGTGTGCCCTGCTACGAGCGAAGAAGACTGTACCGGTGAGAGTAATGAACACGCATTATTATTCTGTATCCTTGAAGAAGGGAACCCTGTTAGGGTACTGTTGTTCGGTCTCCTCAGTCATTCGAAGCGTGGAAGCCTCCAAAGTTTCGACTTCAAAAATTCCGGACAAAATGGTGAAGGAGTTAGTAAACGTTAAAGGATTATCTCCCGAAAATAGTAGAAAATTGAGAAACCTGATAATCAAGTATCAAGATGTGTTTGATAAAGGAGAAGCAGGACAGAGAGGTCGTACCAATTTAGTACAACATAAAATTGATACAGGAGATGCACGACCAATCAAACAAAATCCGAGAAGACTTCCGCTCGCCAAACGTGAAGAAGCTGATAAAATCCTTCGAGAAATGAAAGAAGAGGGTGTCATCGAACCATCTAACAGCCCGTGGACATCGCCGGTAGTACTAGTAAAGAAGAAAGACGGTACCACCAGATTCTGTGTTGATTATCGGCAGCTCAATAATGTTACCAAGAAGGATAGTTATCCCCTGCCGAGGATAGACGATACTCTAGACACGCTGGCGGGGTTAACGATATTCTCTACGTTAGATCTGAAAAGTGGATATTGGCAAGTCGACATGGCGCCGAAAGATAGAGAGAAGACAGCGTTCTCGGTGGGCTCCGGACTGTGGCAATTTACCGTCATGCCTTTTGGATTGTGCAACGCGCCAGCTACCTTTGAGAGACTAATGGAGTCTGTGTTAAAGGGACTATCCTGGACTACCTGTTTAGTGTACCTGGATGACATCATAGTGGTGGGGAAATCCTTTGACCATCATCTGAAGAATTTGGAAGAAGTTTTCAAGCGACTAGGGAGTTCTGGTTTGAAACTTAGCCCCAAGAAATGTCATCTGTGTCAAGAAAAGGTACACTACTTGGGCCATGTAGTCTCCTCCCAAGGAGTTGCGGTAGATCCACAGAAGACCAGACAGTGGAAGAGTGGCCGATACCTAAAGATAAACATGAACTACGAAGCTTTTTGGGACTATGCACATACTATCGACGCTATGTACAGGGTTTCGCCACCATCGCAAAACCATTGACCAGACTTACCGAAGGAGAGGCGTTTCTCTTGGGACTCAGATTCTGACCAGGCATTCCGAAAATTGAAGAAGGCCCTGACTAGTGCGCCCATACTTAGCTACCCTCTTGGCAACGGAAACTTTATATTGGATACCGACGCTAGCAATGTTGCATTAGGCGCTGTTCTGTCTCAGATCCAGGATGGTCAAGAAAAAGTCATTGGTTATTTTTAGTAAGACCTTGTCAAAACCGGAAAGGAACTACTGTGTAACCAGACGAGAATTACTAGCAGTAGTTAAAGCAGTGGAACACTTCTACAAGTATCTCTATGGAAGAAAGTTCTTGTTAAGAACAGACCATGCTGCTTTGAAATGGCTGTTGCAGTTTAAGAATCCCTGAAGGGCAGGTAGCTAGATGGATTGAACGATTACAAGAATTTGACTTCGACACAGAACATCGAGCTGGGGCAATCCATCGAAATGCCGACGCACTTTCCAGAAGACCTTGCGCTAAGGACTGCAAAGCATTGTTCCCGAGCAGAAGAGAAAGA